CCCTATGCCCAGGGTGAGTGGGGGTGGGGCCGGGGGCCAGGCCCTATACCCAGGGTGAATGGGGGGGTGGGGGGGTGGGTGGCCCCCCAAGGGCCCCGTGCTGACCCCGCACTCTCCCTGCAGGCCCCGGCATGGGCGCCCCACTGGTGACAGTGGCAGTGGTGGCCCGGACGTTGGCCCAGCTCTGGAACAAGCCCCTGCTGGGCGTCAATCACTGCGTGGGCCACATTGAGATGGGCCGGCTGATCACGGGCGCCCAGAACCCCACCGTGCTGTATGTCAGCGGGGGCAACACCCAGGTAGGGCTGACGCTCCCCCCTCACCTCCCCCCCCGCGCCACACTAGGCCCCCACCCAGGAGATCCCGGCAGCCCTGTACATCCCCCCGCTCTGTTCCTCTTTCCCAGGTCATCGCGTACTCGGAGCGCCGGTATCGCATCTTCGGGGAGACCATCGACATCGCCGTGGGCAACTGCCTGGACCGCTTCGCCCGTGTGCTGAAGGTGAGAGGGCACTGGGGAGCCAGAGGGTTGGGAGTCAGGACTCCTGGGTTCTATCCCTGACTCTGGGAGGGAAGTGGGGTCTAGTGGTTAGAACCGGGGAGGACCGGGAGTCAGGATGCCTGGGTTCTATTACCATTAAGTGAGTCACCCAGAGTTTTTCCGTTTCCTGATTGTGGCACTTCAACATTAACAAGTTTTTTGGTATTTAATTTCCTTGCTTTTTAAAAAACAGGGCGCCAGGTTCCAATCCCTCTGGTTCCTTCACTAGCCACATTTAGCGACAGCAACATTGGAGAAATGTCGCTTCAAGATTTTAACAGTCACATGACTCCAAGTTCTGGTGTGTTTGGGTGAAGTTGTTCATTTTAAACGCAAGGGAATTCCAGATTAGTGTTGGTTTTGTGCACACGCTCGTCGAAAAATACTCGGTGCAATTTTAAACTTAACCTAAGTTTTTTGGAGTGGAATTTCTTTGCTTTTTTTCTAAAGGCAAACAAGAATTTTCTTAGTTTGGTTGCTTTTTAAACAAACTCGCAATTTTATTCTCTTTATAATCCAAGAATACTGTACAAAATCAGATGATGTTTAGCATATAACTTGCTTTATATAAGAGTTGAAATCAATCTCTTTCACAAACATTCTATATGCTTCCATTTTTTAAAAACCTCACACCCAATTTCCTGGATTTCTTGTAAAATTATTTTCTTCCCTGTGGCAGGAGCAACTGAAGATGAGGTTTTCTGGCATGGAATTTCCTTGCATTTTAAAGAAAAGAGTAACTTTTGTTCTCCTTCTCCCTGAAATTGGGGAAATTAAATGCCAAAATCTAAGGTTAATGGTAACTTTACAGTCAAACATTTCCAACTAAAGCCAGCATAAAATTAGATACTTTTGTCAAATAATCTGCACTCACTTAGTTGGAGACTTTGCATTAATTTTAACATTAATCTAAGATTTTTGGCATTCAGTTTTCTGCTTTTAAAAGCCAGGAGCAGGCTGTGGGGATCTTCAGCATTAACCGAGGTTCTTGGCCTGGAATTTACTGGTTTCTTTGCAAGTGACGTGGAAAATGATTGTGAGATTTAGCAGTAAATCAATACGGAGCTTTGGCAAACGGGCCCCAGGCTTCGTTCCCCTCTCTGTAGCTCAAAACTGGGGGGGACCGATTTCACCTGAGTCCCACCAGAACACCCCCTGCCCTGAGCCTCGCTGCAGGAAAGGTTTTGGCCTGAAAGGAGCTGGTGTCTTCAAGTTGTTCCCCCCTCCCCCCCCCCAAAATGGACCAAAGCAAAGTGGGGGGGGCTCGTAGGTTGGGATGGGGCCTTCTGGTACCCCCGCGTCCAGCCTTACCCCCCCTTGGTGTCTCTTCCTCCTAGATATCCAATGACCCCAGCCCTGGCTATAACATCGAACAGATGGCGAAGAAGTGAGTGGTACCAGCTCCGGGAGGGGAGTGGGGTCCAGAGGGTTGGAGCAGGGCTGGGAGTCAGGACTCCGGGGTTAGATCCCTGGCTCTGGGAGGGTCTAACACAGTCTCCTCTCCCCCCAGGGGACAGAAGCTGGTGGAACTGCCCTACACAGTGAAGGGAATGGATGTGTCCTTCTCAGGGATCCTGTCCCACATAGAGGTGAGGAACTCAGGGGTCCTGGCTCCCAGCCCCTGCTCTACCCACTAGCCCCCACTCCCCTCTCTGAGCTGGGAGGGAACTCAGGAGCCCTGAATCCCCTCTCTGCCCTGTAGGAGGTGGCTCACAAGATGCTGGCATCAGGAGAGTGCACCCCGGAGGATCTCTGCTTCTCTCTCCAGGTGAGGAACGGCCCAGCTCAGGGCTGGGAGAGCAGGGGCTGCAGGTCAAGAGTTAGGAGCACCGTCCCTGGACGTCAGGAGGTGGGGAGTGCAGGCTGGGAGTGAGACGCACCATGGGAGCTGGGGAAGGGGGCTGCGAGTCTGGCATGAGGAGCACTGTGGGAGCTGTAGGGAGGGAGTGAGGAGTGCCGAGCGGGGGGTGGGGGGGCTGCGGGTTGGGAGTGAAGCGCACTGTGGGAGCTGCAGGTCGGGAGTGAGGAGCGCCGAGGAGGGGGCGGGCTGTGGGTTGGGAGCAAGTGACACTGTCCTAGCTGTGCTGCGCCCCCAGGAGACGCTCTTCGCGATGCTGGTGGAGATCACGGAGCGGGCCATGGCGCACTGCAGCTCACAGGAGGCCCTCGTCGTGGGCGGAGTCGGCTGTATGTGCCGGGACCATGGCGCGAGGGGGGAGGGTCACTGCATGGGAACCCTGCCTCCCCACCCGGTCCCCATACTTAGCCCCCCACCTGCTTCTCCACTCGCCCCCTGCCTGCCTCCCTCCCTCCCTCCGGGATCGCTGCCCTAGGGCAGGGGCTCGCTGGGCTCTCCCCCACAGTCCTGGCAGGCGCAGCCTTGGGCTGGTGCCTGGGCTCAACTGAGGCCATCGCAGCTCGTGTCACTTGTGTCCTGAGACTGGGGTCTCAGCTTGAAACCTGCCCCCTCCCCAGGTGTCACCACCCCACACCAGCTTGTGCCCCCCAAGCTCTAACCCTGCCCCCTCCCCCAGGTAACATGCGGCTGCAGGAGATGATGCGGATCATGTGTGCAGAGAGGGGAGCCAAGTTGTTTGCTACAGATGAGAGGTACCGACTGCCCGTCAGCTTGCCCTGTGGAGCTAGGGTCCCAGCAACCCCTTAGCCCGCCCTAGCTTGGTGGGAGCGGTGGGATTCTCCCCCCAGACAGTAGCTCTTGGATTCCCCTGGGAGATTCTGGGCTATGGTGCTTTAGGGCATTGGCACCCCTACCCCGGAGCCAGGAGAGAACCCAGGAGTCCTGGCTCCCAACCCCCCATCTCTCCTTTCTAACCATTAGACCCCACTCCCCTTCCAGAGTTGGGGATAGAACCCAG